TTGTTGTTTTGGCGGGTCCGGGCTGGGGATTCGAACCCGCCACCTTAGGTGTATGTGGCTGGCGCCTTAGCCGGTTGAGCTATAGGTGTCGAGCCCAGACTAGATCTTAAGGTCTAGATAAGCCAGTCCAGTTTGCTGGTTGTTAACTCAAAAGCACATAGAAGGTGCTCTGATCAGCTGTAGGGCGGGACTACAGGTGTCTAGAGGAGTCTTTGTGCAGACTTTGTCCAGCTGTGTGCCTGGAGCAGTTCTGGTGCTGGGGTGCATCAGGAGACCACAGATCTCTCCCCTCCTGGAGTTTACTTGAGGCTGTTGCAGGGAATGCAACACTATATATGTAGTAAGTAAATTATAAAGTGTGTTGGAAGGTGAATAGTGTCCTGGCCCAAAGAAACAGAAGGCTTTGGGATTAGAAGGACTGGGTTGGGGGAAGGGTGGGTTTCAGGGTGGACCTCAATGAAAGAGTAACATTTGAGGAAAGACTTGGGGGAGTGAAAGTTGGCCAAGTTCATACCTGGGTTAGAACCATCCAGGCAGAGTAGAAGTGCAAAGGCTCTGAGGCTGAAGAGAAGTGAGGGTAGGGGAAAGTAAGGAGAAGCAGGCCAAGTAAGGACTTAGGCTTTTCCTCTGAGTGAAAATAAGGAGTATTGACTGCTACTCATGTCCCAGAAGAGAAAATTGAGGTTTAGCTTGATGCCCAGGTACTCAAACCTGCAGAGTGTCCAGGTCCTCACCAACACCAGTGAGGTTTCCATGAAATAAATCTTACTCTTGAGGACAGGTTTCTTGCTTCAGGCCTGGCAGTCTGCAGGGCTCATGCCAGGATTTGATGTGGTTTCCAAGCATTTCCCACTTGGCCTTGCTGCATAGGAATGGTTGGTTCTAGTCAAAATCATAGAGTGGTTATGGCACCTGCCACAAATACTGAGGGTAGTCTCAGCTACTTGGGAACAAGAGAATTGCTTAAGCCCAAGAGTTGGAGGTTGCTGTGAGCTGTGACACCATGGCACACTACCGAGGGTGACATAGTGAGACTGTCTCAAAAAAAAGAAAAAAATCAGAGAGTGGAGGCCTGTGGCTCACATCTGTAATCCTAGCACTTTATTTATTTAGAAACAGAGTCTCACTATGTCATTCATTAGAGTGCTCTTGCATCACAGCTCACAGCAACCTCCAATTCTTGGGTTTAAGGGATTCTCAAGCCTCAGCCTCCCAAGTAGCTGGGATTGTAGGCAGCTGCCACAATGCCTGGCAATTTTTTGGTTGTAGTAGTCATTGTTGTTTTGCAGGCCTGGGGTTGGGTTCCAACCTGCCAGCTCCAGTGTATGTGTTTGACACCCTAGCCACTGAGATATAGGTGCTGAGCTGCACTTTTTATTTTATTGAGACTGGGTCTTATTCTGGCACCCTGGATGGAGTACCATGACATCATAGCTCACAGCAATCTCACACTTTTGGGCTCAAGTGATCCACTTGCCTCAGACTCCTGAAGTAGCTGGGACTATAGGCACCTGCCACAATGTCCTACTACTTTTTTGTTGCAGTTTGGCTGGGGCTGGGTTTGAACCCACCACCATCCGTATATGGGGCTGGCGTTCTTCTTGCTGAGCCACAGGTGCCACCCTGGTTTTCTATTTTAGTAGAGTCCGGCTCTTGCTCAGGTTGGTCTCAAATTCCTGAGCTTAAGGGATCTGCCCACCTTAGCCTCCCAGAATACTAGGAATATAGGTGTGAGCCACTGTGCCTGGCTTCTTTCCAGGATTTTTTTTTTTTCCTAAGACAGAGTCTTGCCATGTTGCTCAGAGTAAAGTGCCATGGCCACAGCCTAGCTCATAGCAGCCTTAAACTCCTGGGCTTACGCAGTCCTCCTGCCTCAGCCTCCTGAGTAGCTGGGACGGCAGACTGGCTGATTTTTCTATTTTTAGTAGAAATGGGATCTTGAGTATTGCCCAGGCTGGTCTTAAACTCCTGAGCTTAAGGAATCCTCCCATTTCAGTCTCCCAGAGTGCTAGGATTACAGGCGTGAGCCACAGTGGCCATGGAATGTTAATTTTTTTTTTTTTTTTTTTTTTGAGACAGAGTGTCCCTATGTCCCCTTAGTAGAGTGCCATGGCATTACAGCAACCTCAAACTCTTGAGCTGCCGGGCGTTGGCTCACGCCTGTAATCCCAGCACTGTGGGAGGCTGAGGAGGGAGAATCGCTGGAGCTCAGGAGTTCGAGACTCCCCGAAGGAAAAGGAAAACCCAAACCAAGAAAAAAAATGGAAAAACCCAGCTGGGTGCTGCAGCGAGCGCCTGTAATCCCAGCAGCTTCCGGAGGCTGAGGCAGTGGGATGCCCACAAGCCAGGAGTTGGAGGTTGCAGTGAACTACCAAGCTGCTGCACTCTGCTCAGGGGCACAGGGTGGGACTCTTGTCTCCACCAAAAAAAAAAAA